GAAATTAATATCAAAGATATTAACATTAAAGAATGTATTGCTTGGCTTTCATAACACATCTACATTAAAAATAATTATTATTGTTCGAAGGATCGATTAGCAATACGTCCGATAACTTGGAAGCTGTATCAGAAGCCGCTTCCAATCACAGTGTCGCTTCTTCTCTTAGAATTAGAGATAGAAGATCAATACGATAATCTCTCAGACATGGTGTCTGCTAATGTATCGGGTAGAGGAACTCCTAATATATCAGGTACATTAATTTTATTAAAATTTTTTTTTTATACGTAACACATCGATGATAATAATTTATAAATTATTTAATTTCCTATATAATCGCCAGGTCGAGATACACCGTCGTCTCAAATTACTGAAGGAGACGATGGACGAGCTGCGGGTGAAGTAAGGCAACTGGATTTGCCGCCGCCTAATATCCCAACTAAACAAAGTCGATCCGAAATTGATGACAAATTTTGTAAATTTGAGATTAAGAAACTTATTGAAGGTAAATACATATATCTCTAAATAATACACTTAAAACGAACAATATTTATTTACTGACAAAATTGATAACATTTATTTTTGCTAATTGTACATATTGGTACTTTTTAGGAGACGAGACTGTTTCTATGGTATCCGATACTTGGTCTACGGATGTGTTGGCCTCAGATAGCGAAATAGTTGAACAACAGGATCGAATATTGCTTGCTGTTCCTACTGAACAGGTTGCATCTGTGTTGCCCGCCGAACCTACGCTAACCATGTTAGACATTAGTGAAACCGCCTCTGAAGCCTGGAGCACAGATGTATTAGCTAGCGATTCGGAAAGATTAACTGAAGTAGATACCGATGACACTGCTAGTGTTGCCAGGTATATTATTACATATTACATATTACATTCTTAAAATATTATTCTAATTGAAGTAAGATATCTTCATAATTACCATTGACAATATATTTTCATAGGTCTGATGATACGGCCAGATCCGAGATCGAAATAGAAAGCCGTGCTGATTCCGAGGGAAATGAAGAAACTCTTCAATCTGCAACTCCATGTAAGTATACTGCAATTAAATAATACGATATCAGCAATATCTGATGATTTCTGATCGCAGCTATAAATACTGATACATAATTATTCCTGATTCCAGGTCCGGATGGTTCAAGCATCACTTTTCCGTCAATTTCGGGGATTCGAGAGGATTCTGGCATAGGAACTTCGATAGTTCATCAACCATCACCAACAACATCTCCATTGCCATCGTCGTCAAATGTGACAGGTCGTGGTGGAACCAAGTCCGATTACCGACGTAGTACAATGGAATATGTAGACAAAAACGCTAACAATATAAGCAATATGGACTATGATAAACCATTACGGGACGACAGGCTGGTTCACTTGATAGATAAACTTCAAATTAACAATGGTAAGCAAGTTGAACGTCAAGCACCTGCGCACAATCACATCGCTGCGGCGGCAGTCGCACCGGCGTTGCTATTAGCTAATCATATTTCTGCGCCTGTTTTGCCAGAGAAGTCCCAAAACGGTGACGTGAAAACAGAGGTTTGCATTTCTTCACTTAATCCTTCTGTCAATCTGTTGTCTTTCCCACCGAAGAACGTTATACATCTAATGTGAATTTTGTGAATCAGGAGTTGGACAGCTGCATGGCGTCAGTCGAGAATACCGTAGGCCGATTAAGCACGGCTAGCGTAACATCCAGCAGCAGTTCCGGATCAGAACCTCGTGTGAAGAGTAACATTTCAACGTCAGATTTACCAACACCAACAGTTAATGGCATTTGTGACGTGGTAGATGGTTCGATTCCCAATTTTTCCAAGCCAAATGCATCAACGGGAGCTATTCCAAAGAGCATAAGCTTTGACATGACCGCCGAGCGTGGCGATAAGGAATTGTTGGACGACGATCAAAAAAACAAACGTGGTTTCTTTGGTAAATTAAAATTGTCATTGAGAAATCGTAGAGGTAAAGCAATCCGCGTGACGGACGACAGATGTTTCGATCGAGAAGCTGGTGGCGACGGCGTCGATGTGTGCAGGCACAGATTACGCAGGATTATGTCGGAAGATGTAACATCATCCGGTAATGTCGCGGGCGGTAAGATATTAATAAATAACTATTAACAATTATCGTATATTATTTTGTTACGACATAAACGGTTTCTGTTTTAATAGTTTTGTAGAATCGAATCGAAGATAAATCGGAAAATAATGTTAAAAAAAAGATGAAAAGTTTTCCTGCAAGTTTTAGACAGTAATAAATTGTTCTTTTGATTAATTTCAGATACTACCGATGATATATTAGCGAAATACAGAAGAAAGCCAAGCGCAGCTAGCGATACAGCCTCGGTCGAAAGCAATCAGTCCCGTACAAAAGAGGTGGAAGACGAAAGACTTTCAATCGATCCGAATAATGTAGAACTCTCTTATGCTTTTGCGGATGCTAAAAGAAAATTACGTATGGTACTTA